ATATTTATGTACACTATACATACTTCAAAAACTGAAAAATAAATCGAAATGTTAATAGGAGTAACCCCTGGGTGTTAGAATTATAGGTAATCGTATTTTTCCTATATTATTCCATGTATTCCAAATTTACTACAGTAAACATGTGGCCATAAATTTCTGTGACTTTATTTTACAATATATGTTCACACACAGGAGGCCACCGTGCTTCCAACAGGTGCAGTGAAACTGGCCTGGGCAGGAGGCCACCACTTCTTTTCCTGAGGATCCATGTCCGCTCTCCTGAGCCTGGGCCAGTGACTCCCAAATCGGCCTGAACATTAGAGTCACCTTGGAGCTATTTACCACTTCAGACACTTGGGCCACACTCCCAGAGATTCTGACTTTCTTGATCTAGAATGGGGTCCAACATGGTACCCCTCAAGTTTAAAGTACTGAGACTACGAACCACAGTGTCTGAACTGGCAAAGCTTTCACTTTCCCCAGGGGAGAGCTGCCTGAGGCACGGGGAGTCCCCACTAGAGAGGTTGTGAAGTGAGGACCATGCCCTAGGATTTGGGAGCTTCCTGGGAAAACAAGAGCTTAGAAAGCCCAAGGTAGCCCTGCTCCAGCCGGACAACAGGAGAGGGAGTGGCAAGGCCTTTAAGAAAGAGCACAGATGGCCCAGCCAGCGTGGCTCAGGGGTTGAGCATAGACCTATGAACCAGGAGGTCACAGGTTTAATTCCTGGTCAGGGCACATGCCCGGGTTGCATTGTGGGGCTTGTAGGACACAGCCAATCAATAATTCTCTCTCATCATTGATGTTTCTATCTCTCTCTTCTCTGAAATCAATAAAAATATATTTAAAGAAGAAGAAGAAAAGAAGGAGGAGGAGGAGGAGGAGGAGGAGGAGGAGGAGGAAGAGGAGGAGGAAGAGGAGGAGGAAGAGGAGGGGGAAGAGCACAGCTGTGGAATCAAACAGAAGATGGGATCAGATCCTGCTCTGTAAAAGCTCTTCGACCTTGGGCTTACCCTCCCTGAGGCTCCACTACATCACAGTAATTCACAGGGAAGCTAACATCTACCTTCATAGAATTACAAATCTGAAATAAGACACTGTATGTAAAACATTTAATTCAAAGCCCACACTGGCCAGGGAAGGAATACATGTTTTAAAAATAAGCGTAAGATAGCTCATTGAAAACCACAAACTTCTTTGAAAGATATTAAAGAAAACCTAAATAATAAATAAATAAATATCCTGTGTTTAATGAATCAGAAGATTAAATTCTGTTAAAGTGACAATACCTCCCAAATTGATATACAGATTCAATGCAATCCCCATCAGAACACCAGCTGGTTTCTTTGCAGAAATTGACAAGCGGTCCTAAAATTCGTATGGAAATTCAAGGGAGCCAGCATAGCCAAAACAATCCTGAAAAGCAGAAATTTGGAGTGCTCACATTTCCTGGCTTCGAAACTGTCAACAAAGCTACAGTAATCAGTAATCAAGGCAGTGTGGTGTTGGTGTAAGGACAGACACAAATCGATGTAGAATTGAGAATCCAGAAATAAACTCACATTTACAGTCATCTGAATTTTGGCAAGGATGCCAAGACTACTTGATAGGGGAAAAACAGTCTTCTCAGCAAATGGTGCTGGGACAACAGAATATCCAAAATGAAGATGACCTGGGACCTACTACCTCACAGTACAGATACATACAAAAATTAACTCAGAATTAATCACAGACCTAAATGTAAGAGCTAGAGCGATAAAACTCTTAGAAGAAAATACAGGCCTAAATCTTTGTGACCTTAGATTAAGGAAGGATTTCTTAGTACAAAAGCACAAAGCAACAACAGAAAAAACAGATACATTAAACTTCATTAAATTTAAAACTTTTGTGTTTCACCATCAAGAAAATGAAAAGACAACCCAAAGAATGGGATAAAGTATTTTCGAATCATTACCTAATAAAGGACTTGTACTTAAAATATATAATGTTTACAAGTCAATAATAAAAAGACAAATAACCCATTTTTTTTTAATGTGCAAAGGATCTGAATAGACTTTTTCCCAAAGAAGATACATAAATGGCCTATAGGCACATCATTAGTCATTATATCAGAGGAATATAAGTCAAAACCACAATAAGATACCAGTTCACACTCACTAAATGGCTACAATCAAAATCACAGATGAAACAGGTATTGGCAAGGAAGTGGAGAAATTGGAATCCTCAAACATCGCTAGGAACTGAGTGTGCACTGGTGCAGCCACTCTGGAGGGCAGTGTGGCAGTTCCTCAAAAGGTGGAGCATAGAGTTTCCCGGAAGTTCTACTCCTATACGCCCAAGAAAAATGAAAACATGTCCACAAATGTTCACAGCAGCATCCTTTATAATAGCTAAAAAGTGGAAACAACCCAAATATCCATCAACTGATGGATGAATAAATACAATTTTTACAGCCATACGGTAGAATAGAATCTGGCAATGAAAAAAAAATGATATAGGCTACAACACAGTCCAGGGAGCAGCTCCAGCCATCGGCTTAGAGATGGAAGCTGACGCCATGGTAACGAATGAGACCACCAGAGACGAGTGGAAGGGAGAAAAAGAGACCAGGCAGAATCCCGAGACACATCGGCCTGTCCAGGGTGAAGAGGAGAAAATCTCATGAAGGAAACAGACATAATGATCAGCGTGGGAGGCGGAGAGGAGAGCGTGAGGTCATGGAGCACAGGGGAAGAGTGCGCCCAGAGGCAGGGGCACTGGGCTACGATGAATGCTCCTGAGAAGAAAACTAGGAACCGAAAGGCTTCTGCTGGATTTGGTAAGAATCACTGGAGACCTGGGCATGAGCAGGGTGGTGGGGACGTGGAGGCAGAAGCCGGGCTGCAGTGCATTGAGGACTCAGCAGGATGTGAGGACGTGGAGATAATCGCTGACTGGACATCAGTAGGTCGGGCTGAGAGAGACAAGCTGTAAAGTCTAGGTATTTTGGTTTGGTTCTTCACTGGGTTGCAATGGAAAGAGCCAGTGGGGCCAATGAGTATACAGAGGAGGGAAAGAATGCTGTGTCCCTTCACAGCTGTGGCTGAACCATCTGACTTCACCGTTAATTATGGCCATTCCCAGCCTGTGGAGATCTGTCCCTACAGCTCAGCTCTCAACCCTGAGGCTGCCTGGCCTCTCACTTCCCTGGTCCATCCACTGACAGCCCTGCGTGCCCATGCAGGACTGGCCACCACAGACGAACATCACACTGTTGGCGCCATCTTGAATTATGCAGTTTTTAAAAAAATATATTTTATTGATTTTTTACAGAGAGGAAGGGAGAGGGATAGAGAGTTAGAAACATCGATGAGAGGGAAACATCAATCAGCTGCCTCCTGCACACTCCCCACTGGGGATGTGCCCGCAACCAAGGTACATGCCCTTGACCGGAATCGAACCTGGGACCCTTCAGTCCGCAGGCCGACACTCTATCCACTGAGCCAAACCAGTTAGGGCGAATTATGCAGTTTTTAAGGGATACTGGCAGAGCCTTTCCACATGAAGAGGCAGAGTGGTGTTGGAGGCCCTGGGAAGAGAGGCAGAAAGGAGTCATCCCAGACACGCAGCACAGCCAGGAGTCCCTGCCAGCCAGCCGTCAGCAGCAGAGGCACAGCCCACAGTCTGCCCAGGGCCTCGATGAAGCCAGGCCGCAATCAAAGAACCGCTCACTCCCAGGAAGGCTCGACTCCCCCCGACACAGCAAGGCTGGCTCTCTGGCCTGCAGTGCAGAGAATGAGCCTGGGGCCAGGGGCCTATTTTCTAGTCCTGACTCTGCCATGAACTTGCAGTGTGACCCTGCCCTGAGGCCTCAGTTTTCCTGTTAGACAAGGGGTTGCATGTGAGATCTCAAAGACTCTTGCAACCTTGACTGTGTATGGGTGGTGGGTGCACCAGCTGCAGAAGACAGATGCGCTGCAGTCTCCCAGCCCCGTTGGAGTCAGACAGCGGAGGAGCCGTCCACCTGGCCTCCCACTTGCACTCCTCCTCCTCCCCCTGCTCTTTCCCAAGAGTCTCTGAAGTTGCTCAAGTGATACACCACACTTCCCATGAGGCTGTGCGTAGAAAGGAGAACACGGGAGGCCGTGCCCATGGGCCATACCTGAGACCACGGCTCTGCACACAGCTTCCCTTTCAGGACACCTCATCACAGACCCCACCAGACCCCCAGGACCAACACAACATCCCTGAGGGGGCAAACCAGAGCCCGAGATGCCCCCTATTTCTCTGGCCTGGTCCCTGGAAAGGCGAATAGATCCCACAGTTGCTGGGGACCCTCAGCAGCCATGCTGCAGTGGAGAGGGGACCCCGTCATCTTGACTCATTTGTACACAGGGCCGAGCCCCCTCCCTCACAGGGCAGCTGTTTCTGCCCATTCTTTGGGCCAAAACTACATCCTAGGGACCCTGCCATCAGTAGAGTGCAAATGAGGTCCCCGCCAGGAGTCCTGGGTGAGACCCATCTCCTGACTGTAGAATGCAGGCCTGGGATGCTGGTGGGGCGAATGGGACACAGGTCTGGGTATCCAGACAGTGGGAAGGAATTCCCTCCGTGGTCCAGGGAAGGCCTGGCTGAGAGTCCCAGGACTGGAGCCCAGGGCTCTGGGCCTTCGCATGAGCATCACCTGGCTGAAGTCAGGGCCAAAGGGCAACCGGAGCATCCAGCAGCAACAAACCAAGGCCACAACAGCCACAGTGAGTGCAGAGTCTGGTTAGGGGTCACACCCTCCCTTGGGCCCCATTCCACACACACCCCAGCACACATGGTGTTCACGGCCACCACGATGCCCACGTCCTGCCCACCACCTCCCTGCACAGCGTCCTGCGGATGGCCTTTCCCAGCCAGCGCTCCCCTCTCCCCAGCCAGCTCACCGAGCGATCTCCCTTCCTTCCTTCCAGTACTTCCTCCTGGTTGTTCTCCTGAGGAGGAAAAGCAGGGGTGACTCCACGCCCGTGTTGCCTCACCTCAGCATTCCTGCCCCTTGCCTGGCCAGACCGTGGTCACTCAAGGCCTCCTGCAGGGCCCCGGTCTCAGCCGCTTCAGATGGGAGTTAAGTGGGATCAGGGTGGAGGGACTTCCGTCGGGTGCTCCCTCTGTGGGGCCCAGGACAGCAGGCAGGCGGCCCAGAATGAGGGCGGTAATGACCAGAGCTGTGGGAATGAAGCAGGGGCGGGTGGAGGCTGGGAGGAGCCCACCGAGAGGCAGAGGGCAGGAGCCGGAGCTGCCACGGGCAGAGGCCTCACTCCGTGTAGAGGAAGCCCCCGAGGTCCGGGGCAGGAGGAGGAGCGAAGCCTCCTCGTTCACCTGTCCACAGCCGAGGCTTCAGAAGGTGTGCGAGGTGGGACCCCATGTGGTGATGGAGAAGGGGAGGCCTTGGAACTGCACAGGGGTGGGGTCATTGGGGGGTAGGGGTGGAGTGGACGTGAGGTGGGGTCCATGGGCTAAAGGTGGGGTGTTGAGTGCTTACCGATCTCTTCGGTGGCCCCGTTTCAGGGGCCCAGGTTTCCTTTGTTGCTTTGAATGCTGAGATCCCATGGGCCGGGGAGTGCCTCCTGGGAACAAAATCCCTGTCTTGGCAAAAGGGCGCAAACCCAGAAAGAAAGCACAGGGATCCTAGGCCCCATGGCAGCCAGAGCATGAGCAGAGTTTGGGGGCCGGTCCTGTCTGGGCTACACACACAGCCTGGAGCCTGGTGCAGTTCCTTGTCTCACTGGGCTCAGCCCTGAAGCCAGCACAAGCCATTGGGTGTCTTCCTCCATCACCGTGGCAATCGTTAGACCAACACTGATTCATTAGGACATGGAAACCCTCTCTGCTGGTCACAGTCTCCCTCCTAGGCCCTTCAGGACCAGACTAAATCCCCAAGGCCTAAGCAGCCATGCCACTCAGGGACACCCAGCTGCTAATTTCCACAGCAACACACAGAGGGTATATCCCTGCATCTGTGGTTACCATAGCAACCCAGGCAAAGCCAGATGCACTGAGGATAAAGGCCCCATCTGGAGGACCACAGCCAGAGGACCACATTCACGGACACTCTGTGGCCAGCCCTGGGCTAGGTAGGGCTCTGCAGCAGCCTCTGTGCTGAGGGACACACACATTGTCCATCTGAGGGACGACGGGAGATCTAGGGTTTCCTCATTTGTGTCCTTAGTTTCTTGTCCTCTCTCCACCTAAAGACTACCTGAGCGATCTTATCCCCTCACAGGGCTTCAACTCCCACTCCCTTACGTCAAGGATCTCCATGCTACATCATGGGCCCATCCCGCTCCTAAAATCTAAACCCCTCCATCTACGTGCTCTCTGGACACATGGACCTGGATGTCCACAGCACTTCACACTGAAGTGCGCAGCTTGGGCCTCCGAGAGTCTGAGCACTGATCTTGTACATTCTGTCTCTGTGAGTGACAACCAGCCCCCCAGGCACCACCACAGCTTCCCGCTTTTCTTGTCCACCTTCTCTGCCAACGCAGACAGCCATCAAATAAATCCTTCTGACGTCACCTACTAAGCACCTCTCAACTGCACCACCACCTCGCTAGTCCCACATCCATGCTAGGGCTGCCCTGTCTGCTGTCCAGATCTTGGGCATCAGGATGGTGTCTGCCTCCAACCTGCTCCTCTAAATCCGTCCTCCGCTGGCACCAGAGCGAGCTGCGTTCTAAATGCCAATCTGATTATGTCTCTGACCAGACCCTGCCTAAACCCTTCCAGACGCTCTCGCCACCTCAGGCAGAAGCTTAGCTGCGGTGCTCTGCCCAAGTCCTGCCCGCCCTCCAGCCTCAGCTGCCACCAGGCGCTCACTCTACGTCCGGGTCACGTCCCCTCCACCTGTCTCTCCCCTACATCCAGTCCACTTCTCCCCCCTTCTTGTCCACCCTTGGCCACACTCTTCAGTGGGTGCCTAGAAGAATAATCAGGACTCTGGGGTTCGATTTCAAATTTCTGAGGGGAAAGTGATGCCTAGATGCAAACCCGGATGTTGCTGACCCCACTCTGACTACACCCTGGAGGCCTTGGCCCTTCGGTCTTGCCAAGCAGACCGGAAAGACTTGTGGGGAGACTGTGAGCGGCTGGGGAGGAGGGTGCACAGCCGAGCCCGTTCCGGTAACGCCCATGGCCTCCAGAAGACAGAACCACAGGCTGTCAGCTGAGACTGAGCTGAGAGGGCATCTCACCCTGACCCTTCATGACACAGGTGGGAACGTCAGAGGGAGGAGGGGTCAGACAGGCCTCCCAGCCTCAGTCCTCTCTACTGTGACACAGTCTTCCGAGTGGGGCAGCTTCCGGGTGGGGAACCGTGTGCGTGTGCCTGCCTGGGACTGGAGACCTCACGCCTCTGTCTCTCATAAGCTCTCAGGTGTCTTCTGTCCTGCTGCGGGCTGCATGGAACTTTCCAGTCAGGGTCAAAGGGCATCTCAAAGCCGATACTCAGACCACCACCTTCTCAAGCACAGTGTACGCCATGGTCCCCTTCCTGCCCAAGATCTCAGTTTCCACACTGGTCCACACATCAAGTCAGGGGATGCGAACCAGGAAAAAGCCCTACCGACTGCAGGTGACGCCGGCTGCCTCCGAGGAGGCCCATCCTCACCTTGAGGCTGGGTGGGGCTCGGCTACATGAACACCCTGGGGGAAGGATGGACAAAGAGAACCAGGGGACCTCAGCACCGAATCAAGTGCATCCCTCAAGGGTCACCCCTCCCTGGCAGGAGGCCCTGTGAAGCGGAGCTGATGGGCAGGTGACGCTGCAGCCTCTGTGCGCACACTGGCAGCATCAGGGCTCTCTCTCCTGGGCGGTCCCTCCGCCTCTGCGGTGGGCAATTTCTTCGCCTCAAATCAAGCCCAAGCACACTGCCCTTTGGTTCTAGTTCTGTGCTCCAGAGCCCTGCAGACATGACTGGCCGGCTGGCCGGCGCTTGGCCGTGTTGGGGCACTTGTACACGTTGGCTGCTGTCATGGTGAGCACGGCCTTTGAGGGAGGGCGCTACTGTTGATATTTCCCAGGAGAGGACACTGAGGCTCAGGGGAGGGACCCCCTTGTCAGTGGCAGAGCAGGCACTGGGTGCCCTGCTGCCAGGCTGGGCGACTGGAGTGTGGGCTCTCAGGTGCTAGGGAGGCCTCAGAGGGAGATGGTGAGGGCAAAGCGCTCCCAACACATCTCACCTGAGAAGCCCGGCCTCCCACTGTGATGGCTTCTGGCAAGAGCAGAGTGGCCCAGCGACCTAGGCCTGGGCCTTGACATGACAATGCTGCAAGTTCCAGGTAGGATTTGGCATCCCGGGGAACCCCCTTCAATATGGATCTTTCTGAAATATTTAACCCTTAGCACAGCTAAGGGAGGGGGTAGGATACAGGGGAGGGGGGCATTCTCCAATGACCCGTGTGCCTCAGCTGTCAGGTCCTGCTCCGCAAAGCAAAAGCCCTTCAGCGAGTCCGACCCACCCTCTGCAGAGGCTGCTTAGCCAGCATCCATGTCTACGTCAGCGATTCGCCTCCCTGTCACACAGATCATCACAGTCTTCCATTAGCCACACGCTGTCCTCTCCCCGGGAGGGAGTCAGGTACATGTCACTTCCTCCATCCCCATCCACGTCCAGCAATGTCTCAGCTTCCTTTGAGATTCGTGCATCAGGGACTCTATCGGGCCTGCCTGTACTTATCCCGCCCTGGCTCGGCATGATTATAGGAGCGCAGCAAGCCCAGCGTGTTCTGTCCTCAATTACCAGAGTAGTTACCATGGCAACCTGCAGGCCCTCTCGGAGGTGTCTGAGGATGAAGCAGGTCCAGGGGGGTGGGGTGGAGAACGGGCATTCAGGGAGGACAGCCTATGGTGGGGCCCCAGCTCAGACAGAAGCTGAGCCCCAACCTGAGGCAGTAGACAGTGAGAACTGAAGGGAACAGGGGTGCAGGGCCCAGCAGGAAGTGGAGAGCAGGGCCAGGACTAGGGTGAGTTGAATGAGGCATTCACCTGGGGTATGAAATTTAAGAAAGTGCCAAAAAACTTAGTGACCAAGATAAATGATATTTAAATCAAAATGAATGTAAAATTATCTTCAATAAAATATCAATTTTTAAAACACAGACAGGGTCCTCCAGGGCTGGAATGCGGGTGAAGCGAGGGAGGCCACGTCCTGCACCGTCTTTACTAAATTTTGGGTTTTGTTCACTCACTAGGGATGTTTTTGCATCCATTTTGCTTATTAAAAATTATTGTATGAAAATGTGACTGAGCTTTTTGGCGGTTCCTTAAATTGTGTACCTGCCTCATTACCCTAGTCTCAGGCCTGAAGGGGAAGACAGGCTGAGTCAGGGGCAGGAGGGAGCCTGAGGCAGCTGAAAAGGCCATGTGACAGGGAGCCAGGAGACAGGAGTTCCTGCCAGTTCTGACAGAATCCAATTCAGGTTTTACAAGACTGTGCAACTTGAAGGTTGCTATTGGGGAGCACAGGTGCCTAGTATGCACATGCCCCCCCCCAAACTACGGGGATGACAGTAACTCAGAGGGGGGCTCCGGCCTCCTGCCCTCCCTCAGGCTGGCTGTGGAGGGGAGGGGAGGGGAGAGAAAGGGAGAGGGGAACGGAGGGCGGAGGGGCAGAGGAGCGGCAGGGGAGAGGCTGGCAGCTTTGCGCCACTGGGAGCAGGGATGGCAGATCAGCTGTAATTGCCTGAAGCTGAGAGGCTGTTGATAAGTGTTACTAATAATCAACCTTCAGATCTGACACCAGCTCAGGCTGGGATTACTGTTTTGAATGGAAATCGAACCCAAACCAGTAATTACCCGGTGAGTGATGCCAGTCTTCCCTGGAGCCTGCTCTAGGCAGGGAAATGGCACCTGCATGTCAGTGTCAGCCCTCAGGGTGGGGCTCCCTCCAGCCGCCTCTTCCCGAGGGCACCGGCTGGCCTGGCCTGCCTCCCTCAGTGGGACAGTCAACAGAAGCCCCCACCCTTCTCCCCAGGCACTGCAGTGGGAGGGACGCCCACCCATCGCCCACCCATCGCCCCTGCCTCCTGGCAGAATCCCGACCTCAGACCTCACTCACGCCCAGACTTGGCTGGTGGAGGGCCTTTGTGGACACTGTCCCGAGCTGTCAAAAGCAGTTTCTGGGTTCATGGAGGGGGCGGGTGGTGGCTGTATTCCCCGATACACATGCAGCCCTTGAAGCCTTTGGCAGGGACCCTTGGACAGCCACACAGTTTCCCCCGTTAGACCAGGAGGCTCCTGGGTCGGCCTGAGCTGGGGCCAGGTGAAGGGGCGAGGCCACCGCAGGCGTAGAGCCCACCAGCCTGTCTCCACG